TTAGCACCACATTTGCACCTTTTTTTTTCCTTGAGAGAGAGAGAGAGAGAGAGAGAGAGAGAGAGAGAGAGAGAGAGAAAGTAATCACTTAGTAACCGCTGCTCAGAAACAGTCTACTGGCCGCAGTGTGAGAATGACACAGCCAACTCATTTTGCTCTCTGAGTGAGAGAGCGACCACGTTGGATGTCACCTATAATCCATGACTGCTGTGTGACTGGGATTAGGAGGGCGTGTGGGATTTTGCAGTCAATAACATCCCAAAGATACGCAGGTAGCAGGTGAGCAGCATTTGTTTGTCCGCTGTTGTAACCCGCTGGCCCTGAAAGGGTTAAATTGTCGTGGTGAACTCTTAAGACTGCGAGTGTTTTGTAAGTGAAGAACTATAATAGAAGAAGATCAATTAACTGTCTTTCATGTTCATTCATGATTCATTTGTCTTTCATTTTAGTGTAATCTGTGAGGTCAAAACATTTACGAATAACACCAATGATTTTGTTAATTGAACTGCAGATTAATTTATTGCATATGTTAAATAATACATGAGAAGAGGACCTGGAAAAAAAAACATTGCCTAATAAATTCTAATTGCAATATTGGTTAGGAAAATAAAATATCGCAATTAGATATATTTTTCGAAATGATTCTGCCCTAGTCTGAGATGTGAGTCATGTTGTCCACCGGGGTAGAGTTTTCCAAATCTCAGGCACAGAGATACTCACAATGCAACAAAGTGTTGCAGCATGAAGGAAGCCGGAGGTCAACATCTCTATCTTTAGTGGGAACAAAACTTCTCAGATGTGCTTGAAGCCAATTTCGCACGGAGGCGGATACGATTACATCATCAACAAGCTTTTGGTCTATAAAGTGGAATTCTAGACCGTAAGACAAACTTATTCCGGATATAGCCTACTGCCCACTCCGAACGTAGCATATTTAAATATTATTACCTTGATTTCATTTTTATCTTGCCATCTCAATGTAAACTTCTGCTTGACTGCCCAGCAAAAATGACCACGAGATATCCCAAAAACGCTGTAGCAGCACATATAGACAGGTAATATAAGAAAGACTCACTGTCATATATTCTTTCTAATATGAAAAAAATGAGTTAGAATAATACATTGCGCCTACTTTTAGTCATTTTATATTCAAGTTATTGTGTGTGCCACGCAGCCCTTAAGAGGCCAAAGCGCGGTCAGCACGAACAGCGGGTATTCATTTTTACTCATTTATTTTCAGGTTGTTCTTTGAGGTCAAGGCGAGTTTTGGTATCATTGAATAATCATGTCGTGATTTTAATATCAGTCTAAATAATGGTACGAATGATTTTTTTCCCATTATCGCACAGCCCTGGTGCATAATCAAACGATGTCGCAACATTGATGGACACAAATCAGAAAATGACACGTTTCAGTTGAGCTTGATGCTTTCAAGGTCGTTCTTCATGGATGTGTGCTTGATGCATTGGATGACGCAAAAATCGTTATTAAGAAGAGGAGAATGAATGCTTTTTGCACAGCTGATAAATGGTTGTAATCCTCCTGGAGATTACCGAGCCCCCAACCACAGGATGGAACGGTTCGAAGCCTCAGGGAGGCCAGCTTTGTTGGCTCAGTGGGTGGAGTTCATTTGCTCAAGCGACGTCTGGTTTGACTGCACCTCGGTAATCGTAAATCCCTTGATTGTCAACAAAGACAAAATGTCTTGTCAAAGTGACCGGGACAGCTTTATTTCCATTCGAAGTGCAAGTATTGATTAATGCTGATTTATATTGCATTTGTGGAATATGAGTAAAATTGCACCCGTTTGTGTCCATCTCAGGGGACGGCCATTTTGCTACTTGCTGTTGATTGAAAATGACATCACAGTTGCTCATGGGCTCAGGTAACAACTAATCCTGCCTTGGCTTCAGAAAACAGGTGAGCTGTGATTGTTTTTTACCTGAGCCCCGAGCAACTGTGATGTCATTTTCGGTTGACAGCAAGTGGCAAAATGGCCGTCTACCGAGATGGCTAAAAACGGGTGGATTTTGCTGCTTAGCTCATATTCCACAAACGGAATATGAACCAGAATGCCGCGTTTAAACTAGTCAGGGTGTATAAAACATAACTGTCAAGAAAATTTTGGGGTTGACTTCCCCTTTAATGTTGCAAGGTTGAATGAAAAGCTTTAAAAATGTGTGTAATAGACATTAACACATTTTTAATAATAATGTATATGGCTTAAAGAACCGTCACACTTGTGCGCGACTCAATGAGAGCCGTTCGCTAATTTTAAAAGATGAACAATTCCTTCAATTTCAACTTCAATTGAATCACTAAACCAATCTTGTCAGTTACTTAATGGTTCGTTTCAAGTTTATTTCAAGATGAATTAGGCGTGTTGAGCGGACGCTAGACAGGATATTGACATTGTTACAGGTTTTTATTTTGGAAATGTATTTTTACATTGTAGTTTACCACCACGTCGGAGTTCAACTCTCGGGTCACAGAACCTTGAATATTTGAATGGCTCATGAGCTGTTTTTGGACTCACGATGCTCATTACATAATGTCAGTGATGACTGCAGGGGAACAATGATGTATAAGACTCAGTCATGCTCTGCTGACTCGGTGGCTCTCCGCATCGTGGATGCCATTAAAGGGCTACGCGCTCACTGAGAGATGCCTAATCTAGCGGTTGCGTAACAAGATGAAAGGAGGACTTGAAAGTGAGCTTCCATACGGGTGCGCATTAAGGATGAACATGAAGGTGATGCGTAGGGTTGAAAATGTTAAAATGCAAAATATCCTCGCTGTCGGGTGGAAAACTCATGTTTTGAAATATGGTCAATTTGATTTTTTTTTTTTTTTTTTTTTTTTTTTTAATTAAAGTTTGGTCTTTCCATAAGTGTACCCTTTAACTCCTTCTTTGATCACCACGACTGCTTGTTTTTCTGTATTTATTTATTTATTACAGAAGTTTCATCAGCACATGGCGGGAGTCCTCGTCCCCCCCTATAGTGTGATGGAGGCTGGTGCCGACAGTGAGTAACTGCATTTTGATTGTCATCTCAGTGACACTTTTTTTTTTTTTTTTTTTTTTAAACACTCTATCACAGCATTTGTTGAAGCTCACGCTGAGGGTTTTTGTTCACGTGAACTCCTTCAAATGTTGAAAATTGATTCGTGATATCTTGATGATCCGCAAGGGGGGAATCGACCATTCAGCGTGACAGCATCGTGATATTTTGCACACGCAGGAACATGATTCAAGTCTGCTGAAGCAGACCTCCTGTCTGCCAGACTTCCGCTTGCTCCAGTAGTTGCAACATTATAAAAGCTGATATTTTTTTTTCGCAAAGCGTTCCTGGTGCAAGTTAACTTAATATTGACCGAGCTTTGCTCAAACAAAGCTCTCACAGGGGCTTTGTGGTCTTGTACAATGACAGTGACAAATAGCTGTTCCTTTTTTTTCATGAAAAGTTGAGCCTGCTCAGTTGAGGCTATTGCATGTGATGTGACCTTTTTAGGTTCTCTGAGTTATTCAGCTCGGACATAATGTGTTCACGAGTTGGATTTATTTTGACAGCGTTAATTATTTGGAGACATGCTGACAGGCACACAGAAGGATATTATAACACATTTGAATTTCAAATAGCGGTAGAAAGACAAAACATGCAGGCGCATGTCGATTTGTGTTTTTGTTTTGGATAACATTGGCATGAGACATTTGAATGAAGAAATAGTTTTTTTTTTTCATACAAAAAGCAAATATTTTAAATGCATTGTTTTTAATGTCCTCAATATTTAGACTAATGAAAACACAAAATCCAGGGCTCTGGATGAACTTTTTGCACGTTGGACGAGTGTCACCAACATTTTTTCCTTTGTCTGCACCAGCACAAAAGTTATAGGTGCTTGATTTGAATCACAATTCCAAAAGAAAGGTTACTTACTCTCACATTGAGCTGCTTGAAGTGATTTTGCGTCAGAGCGTCGGTGATGACTTTTGAACATATCAGGCCTTAATTTAATATTCAATAAGCTGTCAAGTGCCATTAGCATCTTTTCATTTCATTCTCAGCGATTTTCACTCTCTATTTGATGGGCGTAGGTCACTCACTTAGACTTGTCACAATAACGCACGTTTTAGAAGAGTATATTTTTCCCCAAAACTATCATGACAAACCATATCATTGACTTTGTTTGTTTTTTTTTGTGGTTTTTTTTTCATGTTGCTATTACAAATCAACGGTATCCTTTTTCAAGAGCAAATAACTTGTAATTCTCAAGAACAGTGAACATTGGCATTGAAATGTAGAATCCAAAAAATACCTTGCATAAATTAAAAAGTACAACAGACTCAGGCTCTGTTCACAAAAAAACTGCAAAATATTAGACATTTGGTACAAAGGTATGGAGAGTCTCACTCATATATTACTCTGCCAACCTCGTATTTTTTTTTTTAGGTGTACCCTTGAGGAAAAAGCCTGCGTGGGTGCCCAAATTTCTCTCCGTCTCGAGCCCTGAAGTTATTAGGCTGTTATTAAACTGTTTCGTCACTTTGAGTAGAGCATCCCTGTAGGAATGCCACTTTACTATTTCTACACCAACGTACAGTGGAGTACCTCACACTATGCACCGTGCATGAATGCATTAGGAAATCATACAAGAATCATGCAGTTGGTGGCTGCCGCCCGCTCCTGCACTTACACTTCAGTACAATTTTCTTCTCGGTGTGTAAATTAAACATGTTAAGATGCTGCGCTTTATACAACTTTTATGCCGTCAGCGTTGGTCATCCGGCTTCGGTCACAGAGTCAGCTGACTTTGATCCCCAGCAAATCGCAGGGCACCGACAAGCAACCAATCACACTTGCCTTCAAAATAATGCACAAGTAACCGAACATGTAAATGTTTTCGGAGGACCAACGCTCCACAAAGGAAGGCTGGAGCCGAGATTCGAATCCTGAACTTAAGAACGAGGCCGATATGGTAACCACTACACGCTTTGAAAATCCACCAGTGAAGCCCCCCCACCCCTTTCAAAAAAAAAAAAAAAAAAAAAAAAAAAAAAAGATTTGGAGTTGCCTATAGATATCATAAGATTGTGGCAAAGTACTGCTTTTGTCCAAAAGAAACTCCTCAACCTACTTTGGCATAGTTTCTTGGCCCTAAGATGCCACAAAATTGCACGAAAATAAAACTCACTGCTTTGACCTTTGCACAAAAACAATGACAAATGATGGAGGATAATAGGTTGGTTTTTTTTTTGTTTTTTTTAAATCCACAAATAGGATTAAATTCATTAAATAATAAAGTGGCTTTGGGGTTATCGTTTTCGGTTAATCTCACATAACAATATTTAATTGAGCCAATATGCTCAACTTTTTTTTGTGTTTGGACAGCAAAATGCAATCCGTCCAAATGTTAGGTGAAGTCAATCAGAAAACTGTGATGATATTTCCGTATTGAGGTAACCGTATCCACTGTATATTTATTGCTCGCCCAAACAGGAACGCCGGACAACGAGAACATAAGTAACAACTCGTTTGCTTCTCCAACCGAAAATCCCAAAAAGGTACTTTCTCCTTTCTGTCTTGCTTTGGAGCTTCTGCTTATCTGCTCGACGTTTCTTAAAATGGCTTCTGCATCACCTGACGTAACCACATCCTTTACAGTCACAGCATGAATAGAATGTGGCATTTGTTTAAAGTTGGTTTAAATATAAACGGGATCGCTGTCCAATCTTCCATCCTGTCCCACCTTGCTGTTGTTGTCCTTTTCCTGCCCGCCTTACATAACATGACACTCCGTCTGATTGATAGTTTTGCCGAGGAAATAGCACTCGAAAACGTACTGCGACGTTTCATGGTGCCATTTTTACACATTTGAGTTCAGGTGCCTTCTGGAAAGATCCTGCGCGCGGGGAAGGTTCTCCGTAACGCCATCCTCTCCAGAGCGCCTCATATGATCCGAGACAGAAAGTACCATCTGAAAACATACAGGTGAATTCAACACATTTTTACATCCAAACACGCAAATGCTAAATCATGGGAGAGTGAAAATAAATACTTTGTGGATTTAAGTAAACAGCAGCTGATAAAGTAAATTTGCACCCTGAGAATAGAACAAAGCTTTGACATCTTGGATTTTGCTCTCAAGTCTGTGTAACACTATAAACTGTAAAAGATAACTTGAAAACCATTAAAAAAAATAAATTAAAAACTACACAACATAGAGGGGTTGCGAACAATAGCGATACACTGTACTTGATATATTGTCATCCCGCCTCCACCACAGGGGTTAAATGAATCTCGTTATTTCTAATCATCTAATCAATGTCCAAAGATGTACACGATAAACTGAATTGACAGCCAAAGCTTTCTGTGGGTGTAAAAAGCAGGATTGAAGAGGATTTGACACTCAATTATCTTAAAACGAAGAAATACCGAGATGAAATGCTTCCTGTTTTCATTCTTCTTTCAAATTTACACCGTCTCAAACAAAAACCCACGATGAAGGAGGGTTTCCTGGAATGGTTTGTACTTATCATAAATAGGTCGTTGCAATTCTCAACAAGGTCTCTTTGGTGTGTTTTACCAGGCAGTGTTGTGTGGGAACGGAGATGGTCGACTGGCAGATGCAGCACAGCTCCTGTGTGCGCTCTCGCCTTCAAGCTGTGGCCATGTGGCAGGTGCTTATGGAGGAAGGCGTTCTTTGCCACGGTGAGACGGGTCTTCTCATCCTCGCAATTTGTTTAGCATCACATCCCATCGTTGTTATGTTCACTGAATGTGACCCAGTGGACCGGGAGCCAAGCTTCCAGGACAAATACCTTTTCTACCGCTTCCTGGACGATGAAGAAGAGGAGACGTCTTTACCCGACGAGGAGGAGAGGAGGCAGAGCCAAGACGAGCTGCAGGATACTTTGGTACTCCTTTCGCAGATGGGGCCTGACGCCTACATGAGGATGATTCTGAGGAAGCGGTGAGCTTCCCAGACAATTCATGTCAGTTCATCCGTGTGATGTTACAATAACCTCGCGCTATATTCTCTTGGCAGGCCATCTGAGAGAACAGAAGACGATTTAGAGATCATTTGCGAGGAACTGCTCCACATCAAGGCCTTAGCGCACCTTTCCACCACTGTGAGGAGATTTTTTTTTTTTTCTTCTTCAGTATTGTCGTAATTTTCTGAGTATGAAATGTCCTTAATTTAATATGCCAACCCCCAAATCACCCCTTGAAATGCATTTATTTCTCTGTACTTGTTTAATACGGTCCCCTGATTTGCTGGTATCCTTTATTATCTGAGTGAAGAATATGAATGGAAAAAAAAAATCTTGTTCTTACATTGCACAAGTCAATTAGTTATTTTAGTCATCTAATTTGTATTTCTTTCTCTCCACACAGGTCAAGAGAGAACTGATGGGCGTGCTCATATTTGAGTCCCATGCCAAAGCAGGAACAGTGTGTAAGTATTATGATAGAATGAATGGTACCATTCACAAAGAAATTCTTTTTCCGATTTTTCTCATTCTCATCAATCTCGCAGTGTTCAGCCAAGGCGAAGAGGGTACCTCATGGTACATCATCCTAAAGGGCTCGGTCAACGTGGTCATCTATGGAAAAGTCTGTTCTTTTTTTCATTTTATTAAATTTTTTTGAAATTGATCAATGCCGTTCTGTAGTTTCAGTTGGCTAACTGATGGCCCGATCTGACCCCGCAGGGTGTTGTTTGTACACTTCATGAGGGAGATGACTTTGGGAAGCTTGCTCTTGTCAACGATGCCCCCCGCGCTGCTTCCATTGTCTTGAGAGAGGACAACTGTCACTTCCTGAGAGTGGACAAGGAGGACTTCAACAGGATTTTGAGGGTTTGTTGCTTTTGGATACATGCAGCTAGCTACTCCCACACGCCCTTGTACTGATGAGCTTTAGCGCCCTCTGTTGGCGAAAAATGCAAACTGCACGAGACTGACCCTTTGACAGCAGTATTCCCCTTTACTCGCGATTATAAAACTTCGTCACAAACGAGAAACTTGGGTGAATCCTAGTACATAATGGAGTAATATGTAAGTTTGGAACCTCTTGGTTTTTTTTTTTTCTGTGCAGGACGTAGAGGCCAACACAGTGCGCCTGAAAGAGCACGGTCAAGACGTCCTGGTGTTAGAGAAGAGTCTCAGTAGCTGTCGATCCGACAACCATGGAGCCTCAACCTCCCATTACAAGTGAATACCAACCTTTTAAAAAATATATTAATGTAAAGAGAGCGTTTCGGGGTATTCAGAGACTTAATGCAAACATTTTTTCCTGTTTGAAGATAATACGTGGCTGAAAACATGTGCAATGAATGAGAACTATGTCGCACTCAATTGTGGAGATTCCGTATCGGGCTCAGGAGCCCACCGTGTAAATCTGTTCGGGTGCATGGTAGACCCGGTGTTGGCAAGTTTGCAAATGTGCGTAAGCCAGCAAATTGTTGGCAGCAGACCGCGTAGCCACTTAAGAGTGCCTCATTGTCTTGCCATGGAAAAACCCTGTGACCATAAGGTGGGATATATTCTGGAGGTTTTGACCGAATATATATAAATAATATTTGGCGGTTGAAACATCTACTGTAGTTGACTGTCGGCATACAAAAGACGTATCCACAAGTAGCATCCATCCAGTAGCATTAAAGCTGCTGTTCCTTTATGACCCTTTTTTATGTGTTTTTCCAGGTACAAGGTCATGTCAGGGACACCAGAGAAAATTTTGGAGCACCTGCTTGAGATGATGCGAATGGATTCTCAGTTTTCAGCATCAGGTAAATTTTCTCCAACGGTGTTTTGGTGTGTTAAAAAATGGCCAGCCATCGTTCAACAAGGCTACATCCCGAGAACGTTACAAAAGTTAAAGAGAAACATGACAATTTTTTTTTTTTTGCATTCGTAGTTTTTTCAAAAGCGGACCCAGGGTGTCTGAGCTCAGAACAAAGTTGTGTTAAAAGTTCAAAGACTGGTATCACAAAAGGTATATTTCCAAACCAAACTATGATTTTTCTTCTTCATGTGGGCCAGAGAATCAACCAACTCGTCCACAAAGAAATCTTGCAGCGCTTAAGAGGCCGCAGTTGTGGCTGATTCAGAAACGGCACTTTTTTTTTTTCCCTGGCGGCAAAAGTGCACAGACATTAGTTTTCTCAAACCACTCTGTATTAAATATGAAATTGTAATACAGCCAAAAAAAAAAAAAAAAAAAAAGAGCCTAGCGTCCAAATTAAAGCACCACATAATTGAGCTGTTGGCACACTGCCCCAATGCCAAATCACTATTCAGTCTGTCAACATTTTTTTATCTTCAGTATCGGCGCAGACCGTCTACTTTATGCATGCATAAAACACATATTTGATCTGCTGTTTCTTTTTTTTTTTTTCCATATCTATCTCGGCCAGATGCTGCCTTAGATGATTTTGTGCTCATGCACTGCGTCTTCATGCCAAACATTCAACTTTGTCCAGTGTTGATGGCTCAATATCCTTTTTCCGCACCGTGGAAGCGTGTCGACGTGACATCATCTTCCATCCGCTCAACTCTTGTGCTTGGCCGGTCCTTAACTGGTGCTCAGCTACCATGCCCAGGCCTCACCGGGCTCCGAACAGGAGAAGCTGGACTACGCGCTCAACAACAAGCGTCGTGTGATCCGCCTGGTCGTGCGGTGGGCCACCTTGCATGGTGATCAGTTGCAAGAGGAAGACACCTCAGTGGTCTTCCTGGAGGTTCGTTGCTATCCGATCTTCGTAGGAGAGAATACAGTGGATTTTCCAAAGTCTACACACCCCTGTTTTTGGTGATGATTTTGTGCAATGACGTTTGTCTTTTTTTTTTGCAGGATTTTCTTTCGGCTGTATCTAATGACGCTGAATCACTTCCACCACTCAGTGAGCAACTACCAGAACTGGAAAAAATTGTCAAGCACAAGTATGTTATTTCATTTTAAAACACGCCTTTCATTTTATGGTTCGAGGACTCCCGTATCAAAGCCGTTCAATCAAAGCGAATTCTGATTGATTTGCCACACCTTGTCCCCCCCTCCCCATTTCAGCACTGATGATGCCAGAAGCTCACACAGAAAGGTACGTCTCAAAAGCTTTCATTCCGATTCTGATCAGAAACTATGGATGTGCTTTAAATTAACCTGTTAAAGTCATTCACAGCACATCGTCCTACTCGAGCAGTTCAATAGGGGAGATGACGAGATGCAAAAGTGTCAACCTATTAAGAGCAACGATGAAAGTGAGTCTCGACGAAGATTTTTTTTTTTTCCCCCCCAGTCGACTATGATGTGATGAAAGTTGAGTCGAACTCGATGAAACAACCATCAGTGATATGTGCCACATCTGGCATAAGCAGTGCAGCAACAATCTTGTTTCTTTTACAAATGGCTCCATTCATTCCATAGTACCAAAAAAATGCAGTTTGCTTTTTCCCTTGACTCTTGTCCTCAGTTCTGTTCAAAGTCTTTTGCTGTGACCACACTTACATCACCATCCGAGCGCTTGTTTCCGCCTCGGTCGGAGAGGTCCTGCATGCCGTGGCCGACAAGATGGGCTCAGTGGAGGACCTCCTGTTGGTCCGTCTCAGCTCGGCTGGAGGTGAGAGCGTTCAGCGGCTCCAAAGGCGTTCCTCTAATTAAGTGGGTGGGGGTGGGGGGGGAATTATCATCCATCTGTTGTGCGAAAAACTTGCCGACCCGCGCGTTGTGTTTTGTGAGCAGATAAAGTCGTGTTCGAACACACTGATGTGTCCGTGTTCTCCACTCTTACCATCAATGGGCGTCTCTTTGCCTGCTTCAAGGATCAGCTGGATTCTTTGGTGTGTTGATCAAATATTCCCTGTATTTTTGTTGTACTGCATTTTTGTTGTACTGGATTACAATTCTGCCATGAATTTTATTTTTATTTGTTTCATCTAGACCCCCCTGCCGGAGCAGGAGGGTCCATCTGCAGGCTCTTTGTCGAGTTTTGAGTGGATGAGCACCAAGGATGTTGCTTACCATTTGACGCGATATGACTGGGAGCTTTTCAACTGTGTTCATGAGGTTTGTTGAGCGACCGAAAATGAAGTTTGTCTCGATATGTCCCCTGTGACTGACTGGCGACCAGTTCAGGATGGAGACTCCCTTCCGCCTGAATTCAGCTGGGATAGGCTCCGGCCACTCCCCGCGACTCCCTTCAGGAGAAGCGGTGTTGAAAAAGGATGGATAATATTACTGTAATTTCATAGTTTCGGCCAGCTCCATGTATATGGGTATACTGCCCTCAGGTGGCCAGAGAATGCACTACACCAATTGAACTGAAGCAGAAAATGTTTCATTCTTTACATTCAACTTAATTATGCCATGACTGTATGTTATTGGAAAGTATACTGTATAATAGAGTGATATTTTTCTTATTTAAAAAAAAAACACGCAACCCCTCTCTGACAGCTTGAACTGATCTACCACATCTTTGGGAGGCAAAACGTGAAGAAAAGCACAGTGAACCTGGACCTGTTCCTAAAGAGGTTCAATGAAATTCAGTTTTGGGTGATCACGGAGGTCTGCCTGTGCCCGCAGCTCAGCAAGAGGGTGCAGCTGCTCAAAAAGTTCATCAAGATTGCATCCCAGTAAGAACATTCACTTCACGTTATCTCACCAATTCACTTCCTTTGAACGACTACTTTTCTTTTGTGCCGAAAGCTGCAAGGAACACAGGAACTTGAATGCCTTCTTTGCTATTGTCATGGGGCTGAGCAACCCAGCGGTCAGCAGGCTGAATCAGACCTGGGAGGTTGGTACATACAGTGTTTGGCATGTCTCTCACTATTTTTTATCCCCCCCATCACTCATTTTTTTCATTTCCTGAAAACGCATGAACACAATGTCTCTTTTGTGTTTCCAGAAACTTCCTAGCAAATTCAAGAAGTTCTATGGAGAATTTGAAAACTTGATGGTAAAGAGAGGCGGCTCCAGTGTTTTCAAAGCATTACTATTGTCTCACATGGGATGGATAGACTGATACGTAGATAGATAAAAACAGGATACAATAGCAGCATTGAGGAGGAATTTTTAGTTCATTATGTCATGTTAAAGTATGTCACGAAACGTAGCTCAAAATGTGGTGTCTTTTGGGAAGATTGGAACGGATTAGTGGCATTTCCATTCATTTCAATGGGGAGAGTTGATTTTAGATGCCAGTGGTCTGAGTTACAAACGTGGCCACGGAATGAATAAAACTCTTACGTCAAGGCATCACACTGCAAAACATGAACAAAATTATGGATGTTTAAAAATAAATAAAATCACATTGAGAGTTTTTTTTTCCATTGATAACCTGTGTCTCGTATTTTTATATGTGCAATATTGATTGTGGAGTTGTCATGGATCGCTTTTAACACGGGTGACTCTTTGGACAGGACCCATCCAGGAACCATCGAGTGTACCGACTGATGGTTGCCAAACTTGAACCTCCCATCATCCCTTTCATGCCGCTGTTGATCAAAGGTCAGCAGGTGTTTGTTGTCACAGCAGTTCAACGTGTTTGGACTCAAACTCTGCTTCCTGTTTCTTTCCTTGCAGATATGACATTCACTCACGAGGGCAACAAGACATTTATTGAAAATTTGGTCAATTTTGAGAAAATGGTAAGGTTTTAGCTGATTATTTTCAGTGTACTGTAAATGTTTTTTGTCAAAGGCAGTTGTTAATTTGTACGGCTTTTGTCACCTAGCGGATGATCGCAAATACAGTGAAGATTGTGAGGTATTGTAGGAGTCAGCCATTCAGTAAGTCACACAGCTACTAACTAGCAACTGTGCGCAATATAATAAGATCCTATAGGAGAGTTAAAAAATATTTCTTGACAAAATCGGGCAAATTTCTTGTCATGAAGAACCATAATGTATTTCACTGGCCATCTTTCTATCTACTGTATGTATAACCCCAAATAAATCATATAGATGCCACAAAATGGCTACAAAGCACCACATAAAGCTCTTCTAATCACTCCAACATAGGTCCTTGGAACCAAGTTGCTTCAAGTTGGATCTTATTAGATTGTGTAGATTTACCTAATCACGTTTCTGCCAGTGGACAAAAACTTTGACATTTCTGTTCCACGTGACTTGTTTGATTGTAGAACTTTGACATTTCTGTTCCACGTGACTTGTTTGATTCTTTTCGCTACGTTTGCCCATTAGGTCCCGAGTCACCGCTGGTGAACAAGTGCCACCCCGACGTGCGGCGCTATGTGCGTCACTTCAGCGTGATCGACAACCAAAGAACGCTGACCCGGCTCTCTCATGGACTCGAACCTCGCAGATCTTGATACCCATCAGGGAAGGCTGCGTTACACGGCAGCTTCACCGCTGCTCTCGCTTTAACTCCCAACACAGACAATCACTTGGGGGGGGACGTAATCAGAGATAATGAGGTGCTGTTTACAAATATTGATTTTTGCACTGCTGTTTATTTGCACCACAGCACGTATTCTCAGCAAGCAAAAGTGCTCAGGAAAACAGGTAAACATTTCTCTGGGACCTGATGTTGTTATCATCTAATATTTCGGGTCTAAATAGCAGTATGTGTTGCGTTAAATGTCCCAATATTCGTGATATCATTTTATCTATTTGTATCAAACGTAATGAGAGATAATGAGATGCTGTTTACAAATATTGATGTTTGCACTGCTGTATATTTGCACCACAGCACGCATTCTCAGCAAGTAAAAGTGTTGCTCAGAGAGAAGAAGAATTCAGGAAAGCAGGTAAACATTTCTCTGGTACCTGATGTTATTATTATTATCTAATATTTCAGGTCTAAACAGCAGTATGTGTTGCGTTAAATGTCTCAATATTCGTGATATCATTTTATCTATTTGTATCAAATATTTATACATATTTGTGAGCTTGTTCTGTGCTGTAAATTATACATAAATATTTATTTAAAAATTAGGGCAGTTCTGTGCTACATTCGCGTGACGTCGCCGCCATCGCGGAACTCTTGTTTTAAGCAAGGACAACCTGGACTGTTGTGGAACAGCAACAACACATCATTCTTGTTTGTGGCCAGCAGAGAGCGCTGTTGTCATTAGAATTGAGGGTCCAAAGAGGCCGGTCTGGCCTAGCATTGTTTTTTTTTTTTTTTTTTCGATTTACGTAAACATTCGCGTGACGTCGCCGCCATCGTGGAACTCTGTTTTAAGCAAGGACAACCTGGACTGTTGTGGAACAGCAACAACACATCATTCTTGTTTGTGGCCAGCAGAGAGCGCTGTTGTCATTAGAATTGGTTTTGTGGCCAGCAGAGAGCGCTGTTGTCATTAGAATTTAGGGTCCAAAGAGGCCGGTCCTCCTCGTCCTTAAAATCAAGTCAAGTTGTGTAACCAGTAAAACCGCCGTGGGTAGAGCACGTGAAAAAAAAAAAAGAGGCGCGTATCGCCCGATTTCCGGGAACATTTTAGGTTCTTCACTTCCAGTTTGTGTTCCTGCAACGACGAGCCGCTTGACGACCTCCCAAAAAGTTTGTGTGCGGTACGTATGATGAGTGTACAGTACATTTGTGTACGCTATTGCTTTGTTTTGTGCGTGGCTCGGCATCCTCATGGACGATAGTTTGGGAACTTTCAACTCTCAAATCAAAGCCCGCCCTTTACGTTTTGCTATGAAGTTGCAAATTTGTCATGTTTTCCGTTTTGTTGTGACCATGCATACTACCACTACTACTAGTCTACAACTACTCCAGGTACTACTAATACGCTCTTATCCACATAATATCTGAGCATGTCTCTCACTATGATGCAGAATGTTAAAATGTAGATGATGGATGCTTTCAAAGCCTCATATTAGTGTATTCTATCTATCTATCTATCTATCTATCTATCTATCTATCTATCTATCTATCTATCCATCCATCCCCAATTACCTCCTTCAAAAATACTTCGCTCCCCAAGTTATCACCATCATGGCTAAAAACAAAACAAAACAGTATTGCACTGGGATGAATTGATCATCAAAATCGAGACTGTTTTATAACCACAAAGTGTATTTAGTATGGCTGCGTGCCACTGTAACATTGTGCAATTTGAACCTCAATGCTGTGCTTAAAATATTGGCGAACAAACGTAAATAAAATGGCACCTGAATAAATGTTGCCAAACACAGATCAAATGCAATTGTCTTTATGTGACAGACCTTGTGAGGTGATTGCAGCCATTTCTTTCTAAATACATTTTGCGTGTTTGAAGATAATTGCTGAAAACCTGTGCAAAGACTGACAACAAAGTAGTCCTGAATTGTGGAGATATAGGGCCCTATTTTTGTGCTAAGCGCAAGTCCAGTGTAAAGTCTAACTGTGCGCATGGTGGAGTTTCCTTTCTTGTGGTATTTTTGCAGATGGACACAGATAGATCGGGACACTTGCGCCGTTGTGGGAGTGAACACAATCGATTTTTTTTCCTACCCAATGAAAGCAGCTCAACTCATTCCTTTCAAATTCAACCCAGGAGAGTTGCGTACATAGTGATTGACATTGTGGAAGCAGAAATAGACTCGCAGAAGATCGAAGCGCGCCAAGCACGTTTGTGAGGAACTGCGAGCTGATGTCAAGTTGGCCAGGGTGATCACAAATGACCATTGTGTAATGGGTACTTGTAAGGCTGCCTTCCACCCAGATCATGTCCATGTGTGTGTATCCCAGCACGGCCCAGCGCGGTTTGACAAATTCCCAAACATGCTAAGTCAACTCGACTTTCCCTGGCACGGAAATGAAGATGCAACAGTTTTTACACTGAGTGCACCTGTGCCTGTCTGCAGTGCAATAAAGTCTTTGTCTGACTTTTTGAAAAAAATGTTCCCATTAGTCTCATGCAGTTTGATTTGGATTCTGCCGAGGAAATATCAAGTTGCTCGGCAGGATGGAGCTACGGAATCAGTATGCTTGTTTCTTCCAAATCTTCATTCTGCAGTCAGAATGAGTCAGAGTCCCCAATTACGAAATCCAGTTCTCCCGCATAGATCCTCAATTTCCTGAATGAATGAGCTGAATGTGGCAGCCAAATTAAAAACGCCTCTAACGATGACACAGTCCAGTAGTTCACCATTGCGCGGGTTCAACCTCACAATTGACGCAGATCTTGTATTTGACGGCCTAAGATTTTTGCAGGTGCCTAATAAAGTGGCCTGTGATTGGATGTGAGGACACGCCATCCATCCTTATGCATGATGTGACTTTAACAATGCTGCCACGCCTCCGGCCGTGTTTGCTGTCGAGGGAGAAGCGTCGAGAACGAGTGGTGCAGTGTCACCGTTCCCCCGTGACCCTGCTTGAGTGCACACACAATACAGCGGGCCGGCCCGTGGAGCAGCTTCTCGCGAGGGCTTAGCGTAGCATGAATACGCGTTAATGGTCGCAGAGCATTGGCTCCCTCTGTGACAATTGAGCAAATCCATCCATGCGCAGCAATTCCAATGAGGGACGAGGTAACATTTAAAGCCCCAGATACGATTTTACAATAGCCCAGACACACAATTAGTGGTGGAAAGCTGTCTCCAAGTGCCCACTTTACAGCAACCAACTTTACATCATCCGCATGTGAAGATTTTCTTGCAATTCCTTGCAAACATATGTTGCGCACGCCGGTCATCGAGTCGGCCGTCTATGTTCACTCCCACAACGGCGCAAATGCCCCTTTCTAACTGCACCCATGTATAAAAATGCCCAAAGAAAGAAAACTGTGGATAGTTAACCTGCAATTTGCATCAGACAAGTGCCGTGCAAAAAAAATAAATAAATAAGGGCTAGTGGTGTTGTAGTTGCGCTCCTGCAGGTAAGAGAGAAAATAAGCCAGGAATTGTGTCCGCCCAATAAAACTTTTTAACTGCCCACAATGCAGTGCAAAACATTTTTCTATTCGACAAGGCAAGACTGATTATTAATATAAATTAAATTCCTCCCATCACTTCCACATAGTTCCTTGGCTCAAAGATGCCCCAAAATGGCGTCAAAGCCAGAGCTTTTTTTTTTTTTAGCTAAAAATGGCAAAATTGTGGAGTTTTTTTCAGAAAATAGAGGTCCCCCCCCAAAAAAAACAAAAAAAAACGGGTGTGGATTGTAAGTCTATTTCTTTTCTCTATGTACTGCAGCAATTACTGCATTTACATGACAAAACAATGATAAATGGAAGCGCAGACACAGCTTTCCACATGAACCGTAATTCCACTTTTTCATCCTTGTGATTTTCCAGAAGCGGTGTCAGCGCCAAGTGTCAGAATGAGATGTCGTCTCATAGCGGCTCCTTTGTGCAAATCAAGTTCGATGACATCCACTTCTTCGAGAACTGTGGCGGCGGCAGCTTCGGAAGCGTGTACCGGGCCAGATGGATCTCCCAGGACAAAGAGGTGGCCGTGAAAAAGCTGCTCAAGATTGAGAACGAGGTGGGAGTCATAATTGCCCTGGGGGCTTTTCATGTACACTTTCTACTTTTTTTTAATTGTCACGATTGTAATCATTTTAATTGCCAGCCCGTTTAGTGGGATGTGGTGACTTGCGCACACATCATTCATGGTCATTATACTCCCCCACCACGAGAATGGCGTTGCAAAAGAAACCTTTCGGCAAATCCTGTTTTGGCACCGTTTCAAAACACGGTGCCCCTGATTCAAGCACCGACACATTGTTTTAAAGACAAAAAAAAAAGAATTAATCACTGAAAAAGCTTCATTTGTCGGCCTCTGACAGCATATTTTGAGTATCTTTTATAGATCTCGAGTACAAGATCACAGGCTGAACTTCCTTCAGTGCTGCAGGGATCAAGTCTGGTGAAATAAAAAAAATGTCATCTTTTAAGCGGGGAAGCAATTGTTTGCTTAATTACAGTGTTTTGCTTCACTTACGAATTAAGTGCTTTTGTCAGGTTTCTGTTCACTCGAGCTTTCGCTTCTAGTATGCTACATAACTATAATACAGCATGTAATGTGTTCGATCTGACACCACCAAAAAGGCATTCATTTGTCAATTTCTATAACACTGTATCCAGAGTTATGAACATTGCACATAGTGTCAATCAAAAGTGAGCATTAATATTGATCAGAACACTATTTGGCAGACGGCTCGCACATTCCGGGTTTGAATCTCAATTTGGCTTTTTCTGACCAGGTTTGGAAATGAACCGGATGGTGTGCGAATCCCACAAACGCAAACTCAGACAAACTACGAAACCAAAATATTTATCGAAAAACGGAGGACCGATAAAGTGTAAACAGAAATCGCTAACGGCAAGGTCACGGCAAGGTCAATTGGACATCCGAAAAAAACCCAAGCACACAAAACTCATACAAGAATATTTGAAAAATGAAAATTCAGTGGTACCTCTACTTACGAAATTAATTGGTTCTGCAAGAAATTTCTTAACTAGAAATTTTTCTAAGTAGAGACGCGTTTTCCATGTAAATGCCCCAATCCGTTCCGAGACCCCCAAAATTCAGACATAAAAGGTTTTGTAAGCATAAAAATGCAGATTTTCTTCTCCCTGCTTCATGAAAACGACATGTGTGTCCACCGCCCAGGCTGAAATTCTCAGCGTCCTCAGCCATCGTAACATCATCCAGTTTTATGGCGCGATCGTGGAGGCTCCCAACTATGGAATCGTCACTGGTAAGTGACGGAAATATTTTTGCCCTGCACACGCTTACCAGTTCCAAGTGTTTTGTTCCTGGTGGCAAGTCATTATTGCCCTGCAGAATTTAAACTACTACTGCACTGATACCACGTGCCCCCCGCCCTATCCCCAAGACCAAATACAAGTCGAAGTACTTTGACTACCGGTACTTGTTGATACCAAGTACTTGATAAGTGAAATTATTTTGTCATTTTATGTTAAGTGTTCTTTTGATGGCGGCGCGGGCACCCGCAGCGGCTCCTCTTGTTGTCTGTTGTCTATTTAAGAGGGAGGAAATTTCATCTGTGCTGTATGTTAGCACATTTGACAATAAAGTTGTACTTGATACTTGACTTGAAATACTTAGTTCCAATAAAAATGATCAATAGAAAAAAAGAAAAATGTCTCATTAGTTAGCCTCAATAATGCAGGAATATAAACAGCGAGCAGCAACATTTCTGCTGCGGCGTCCATCATGACAACAGAAATGAAATTTATTGTCGGAAAGTCGCTCGTGGGTGTATGTTTATTCAAGGGCGAATCATATTACCGGCAGAAAGTGTTTATCGATTACCCTTTGTAATTTCCTGTGTTGACATTGTGCTCCCCAGCAGCCAATATGTACACGCGCTTCAATTTACATGCATGGAACTGATCTTCCTTCAGTGCTGCCGCTCAGAAGGAAGATCGGCTCGTACGAATTAGTTAATGGAGGGGCAAAGGTGCTTTTCATTACAAAGCCCGAGATTGGAAAATCAGTCAAAAAGTTCTGAAAAGCTACCGATAGGCAGGAGCAGTTCATCCGGCGTCCCTTTTCATATTATCTTTGGAATGCGGACGCAACATATTCGAGTGCAAAGTGTGGCTGCAGACAGGTATTGACTTGCTGCCGTCCGTTGTTGGTGTTTTGGCTTTGTATACGTTTTAAGCAAACGTGCCGTCGGTATAATAAGAGGCCCGCGCGATAAATGGCGGTGATTTAGCGGCTCGCCGCAAGTTGTCTTGGCAGGGGTGGAATGCACATTTTGCGGAAGTAGGCGTAGCCGCGACCGAGTTGGGATATTGTAAAACCTGACAGTACACCTTCATGAAAAGAAACGGAGCTTTGAGCCTGTAAAACGTAGCGGAGCTCATTCTGAATAATGAGCAGAAAAAAAATGTTTTTTTTGTCATAGCAACCCAGTTCTTATGTCAACAATACATTTCGGCAGTATTTTGATAAGGATGACTGATAAAATAATTCTTTTTTTTTTTTTCTTTTATTCCTCAATTAGTTTTACTTTGAAAATGCAAGCTTGATTGCTCAACATATCTTTCGCTTCCGAGTGCTTCAAGTCAAATTCGTGACCTCGTGGATTTTAGTAAACAAGCCGCCTATCAGAACGGAGAGATTCGAAGGTCACTGGTCACTCGACTGGTCACAATTATCAAACAAAGCAAATTTGACCCCCCCCCCCCAAAAAAAAGCAAAATCTGCTATCAAAGCAAGAATGCTAATTATTTTGACTGTAATACAAGATGCTAACATCAATCAGATCAGTACTTGTTTCCTGTCAGTGCTCTGTCAGACACAACTTTCAAGGTTCCAAACACCAAAGCAAGAACGCTTTTAATCTGTGTATTATGTATTCGCCATGAATCACATTATATTACTTCTGAATCATATCCACAACATTCCAGTTGCATTTCACAAACACACACGTCACATATTTTATATATCCCGTATGCGTAAGAATCAAAAAGCAACAAAAGAGTCCCATTCAATTTTGTCAGGCAACCATCTGAGAAGATATATTGTAAAAAAAACAAAAAAAAAAAAAAACACACGACTCTTAAAATTTGCTTCTGTGCTCTTGGGCCTGCCCCAGAAGTGTTTATTTTTGTGCTTTCCTGTTTCCTGGATAGAATACGCAAGCGGCGGGTCACTGTATGACTACCTTTCCTGCGACGAGAGTGAAGAAATGGACATGGGGCACATTATGACATGGGCGACGGAGATCGCCAGAGGTGAGAAAACCGAAGTTATCTACGAATCAGCAGGCGCGACAGAAGTTCCTCTTTTGTTTCAAGGCCGCGACGAGTCGTGGTTCTCGAACATTTGACACCGAGCCCCACCTTAAAAGACATCCCATAATGACCAGCATAATCACATGTTCACAAAAGAAAAAAATGAGGGAGATATTTTATTCCCAAAAAGTGTATTTTAAATATTATCCTAAGCCACTGGAACAATACATGTTTAAATATTAATTTTAAAAAAACCTGTGCTAAAAAAATGATTCCATTTGAAATCTGCCGCACATAAAGACAATACTTGAGTGGTTAAAAACAAACCGTTAAAGATGAAATGCAAATGGAATCATTGTACTTAAAAGTTAAATACAACTTAACTACACTTTTCCAAAAAGTACTTGAGGGAATTAAAAAAAAAAACAAAAAAAAAACAAAACTATTCTACCGTACTGAATTAAAAAAAAACAAAAAAACAAAACCATTTAAACAGGCTCTCTGCCTTGCGACAAACATCTTTCTTTGTGTTATTTTACATTTAACCTTTTCGGGGACAGCGATTACTACAGTGGACAGCTTATCATGTTCTAAGTTTCCTGGATGCATGAAAGGATTAAATTGTATTTTATTTTATTTTATTTATTTATTTCTGTTGTTGTCATACCCCAACTTGATGCCAATCACTGTCTATAGAGAGTTCGCCTTTTTAGCATCAGGCTAAGTCAGTACAACAACAACAAAAACAGAAGAATTTCACAATAATAATGAGGGTCGTTTTATTTTGACTTCAGGAATCCACTATTTACACTCGGAGGCCCCTGTAAAGGTGATCCACAGAGACCTGAAGTCAAGGAATGGTAACTATACTAGTTTTCGCTTCTCAAGTATACGCGGCAGCCAAAACATTAGGTACACCTTGCGCAAATTCCATTTGATGCACTCCAAAAATTGCATAAGGATAAATGCTCGGTTTCGTCCGAGAGATCATTTCTGCAGGTGTATATCTAATGTTCCGTCTGGCACGTGCATGTTGTTATGTGTGCAGTTTTTATGACCGCTTTGTCATTTTTAATCGCAGAGAAATTACGATTTGTCTTTCAGTTGTTATAACGGCAGATAAAGTCCTCAAGGTAGGTGTAAATCCGCAGTATGGACCTAATGTGTAGATTAAATGTCATTCAAAGGATAGTGAACAGTTAACTTAAGCTGATTTTGTGTTGTAAGTTATAAGTCATGCTCCACACATTCAACTATGAGCCAAGCAATTGTGTTGATATTTGTTGCTAATTTGCTTACAAAGTCAATTGAAAGCTATTCGGGTTGTGAAATTTGAGTTTTTGCTTTTTCTTTACAGATTTGTGATTTCGGGGCCTCCAAGTTCCTGACCCACACGACACACATGTCTTTAGTGGGCACCTTCCCTTGGATGGCGCCCGAGGTCATCCAAAGCCTGCCGGTGTCTGAGACCTGTGACACTTTCTCCTACGCGGTGGTGAGTAGTCAACAACCAGAGGTGGCGCAAACTGGAAAGAAATGGCGTGTGTGTGTGTGTGTCAATTTTAAGATGCCAAAAAGCTCGAAGAAAGAAAGTTGCCGATGTTGAAACCGTCCCTCGGGAAAAGTTGGGGTTTGGAGCCACACTTCCCCAACCGGTGTGACGCCCCCGGCGTCGACAGCGTTTGGGGAAGTCACATGATCATGAGTCAACTTATGCTTTTGAGTGATAACTGTGAGACCGTATGGAGCCGTTGGTTGCCCAAGACTCCAGTTTCACACACAGAGAGAGCCTAATTATTGGAAAATCTCATTTAGGTTTATTCTAAGAAGTGATGCCTTCACTTGTGTGTGCGTGTGTGTGTGTGTATATCAAATTCTAAAAATGCACATGTTCATTCCAAACCAATTTTAAATCTCAACTGAACACGGTTACATGACATTGTGACCGCGTATGAATGCATGACAATGACCGCAACCGTTATTGGAACACATGTTGAAGTGTTTTGAAGTGTCCGCATACGAACGTGTGACTGTTTCCGCACGGCTCATGTTTACAGGTGCTTTGGGAAATGCTGACACGCGAGGTACCCTTCAAAGGCTTGGAAGGCTTACAAGTTGCTTGGCTTGTCGTGGAAAAGGAGGAGGTAATTTATCACCCAATTGCTTAATACTGTACATTGCGCAAAAGAAGGAGCCGCACAATATCCACTCAAGTGAAGCCAAAAGCGGGTGCATTCTTTGCGTTCCTTCTAATGATGTCATGACAACGGTCTACGTTTTTATATATTACAGTCTTATCTTTTTTTTTTTTATCTGGGAGGCTGGATCGGAATAATGGCATTTCCATTCATTTCAATGGGGAAAGAGTATTTGGTCTACAAACGTGATCCCAGATGGAATGAAATGAAATTCTCAAGGCACCACTGGAAGCACAATATTAGCAGTGCAGGTCTGTAAGTTCGCCTACTGCCCGAAGACAGCTGGGATAGGCTCCAGCACCCCCCGCGACCCTTGTGAGGATAAAGCGGATCGGAAAATGGACGGATGTTCTACAACGTGGCATTTTTGTCGAAGCACACCGGTGTCACACTCGCCAGTGAATAGGAGGTCCGGTGTGCATTTGCGTTTCAGAGGTTGACTATCCCCAGCGGCTGTCCTGCCAGCTTCGCAAAGCTGATGAGGGACTGCTGGATGACGGATCCAAAAGTGAGCGCCGCCAGCACTTGACCCGCCCATTGAGAGCCACGACGACTTAAAAAGTTGTTTCCCTCCATTCAGGAGAGGCCAACGTTCAAGCAGATCCTGTCTACTTTAGAGACCATGGCGAACGACAGCCAACTTCCCCAACAGTGCAACTCTTTCCTCCACAACAAGTCTGAATGGAGGTAACGTCACGCCGCCATTCCGCAAGGCCAACGCAACGTATTGGCAGCTCAATGTGCACTCAGCCTAAAGGAAATTGCAAAGAATGGCGGGGAAATGTGGCTGACGGGGGTCGGGAAATACAAAAAAAGAAGTGGAGATGGTTCATATAGATCTTTAATGACTTGACTGACGGCGATAGAAAGGCATAAAAACCTCCAACCAATCCTCCATCTGGATATATTTCCTCTCTTTACCCATAAGGCCCTAAAAATAATCACCATCTTTTTCAAGTAGAAGTGTTTAATTGGGCTGTGTGAGCAGCTGGAGGTTCAGTTGATGTTCGGCACAGCCTGAGTCTCAGCTGCTACTTTATTCTGCCTCAGCCCCTCGGCGGCGGCGGCGGCGGCGCCGTGTGGCTTCTTCTTCACAAAGTCGCGCTGGCGCTGCCGCTGTGGTGTCCGCGCAAGGTGAGGCGGGCTCCAAATAGCTGACCGGTCACGTTGCGCCAAGTACAATCTCGCTGGACTCCAGGTGGTCCAAGAGATGTCTGTGCTTGGGGGGGAGAAAAAAAAGTATGTTCAACATTTTCCTTGACCTTGTAACATCTGCGCCATCACATTTAAGAAAGCCGAAAATGCAAAGCTAGAGGATGAACAACCGACTTTTGAGAGCGGGGCTTTTAAGATGATTTGCAAAGTACTTGATCACAATTATTCTAAATGATTGAAATCACGATGATGGAACACAATTATTTATGGATTTCAAAACTTTGTATTTATTCCTCCTCCAAAACTCAACTTGAAATAACAACCAGAGAATAAAAGTATAAAATAAAATAATACATTAAAATAATGGCAAATTAAAAAAAAAAAAAACATGCAATTGAGCTTTATTAAAGAATTTTTTTTGCAGAAAAGGAAGAATATATGCCTATCAAACACATGAAAAGAGGGGAAGAAAAAAAAAATCAAACCTTAAGCACAACCACAACTTCATCCATCCACTTTTTTTTCTTCTTTCCGTAATCCTGTTACGTACCAAACCAACCACCTAAAATGTCACGTATGACACAAATCACATATCCGAGTCTTGTTGAGACTTTTTTTTTTTTTTTTGGTGGTGTTGCAGGTGCGAAATCGAAGCCACGCTCGACAGGCTGAAGAAGCTGGAGAGAGACCTGAGTAGCAAAGAGCAGGAACTGAAGGAGAGGGAGCGCCGGCTGAAGATGTGGGAGCGCAAACTCATCGAACAGTCCAACAGTCCGGTAAGTTGCTCCTTTTTCACCCTGCCACAACCTTGGTGTGAAGTGGCCTCAGCAGCGCCTCCTCTCTGCCAGTGAACGAATTACAGCAATTCAAAACCAATTCATTTCGTAAGTAGAGGCACCGCTGTATTTGAAATAATGCCGTCACCGTCAAGTTAAAGTAACTGAACTTACAACTCTTTTCATTTTTGTTTGTCACCAATTTCATTCCAGTACTCATGAGCAAAAAAGAAATTAAAAAAAAAAAAAACAAGTGTTTCTGGCTGCTCTTGGGTTGCCATGGCAGCCAATTGGACACAATTCTATATAATAAGACCGTGTACTCTTATGTGAAAGTCCATTTAAAAAGTTTTGTTTTTTTTTTTTTGCTTTCAGGTAATAGTTCAGAAGTAGCAGGGTTTTTTTTGTTTGTTTTTTTTCCGGGCGGTTTACGGCTTGTATGTCCTTCCCGTACGGCCCTGTTCTCACCTGACCGACCGAGAAGCTAAATCAATGTGCCGCACGGCGCTGCCGCATCTGTCGATCACCTCAAATTCCAACTGATGCAGGATTGGTGTTGTGGAAAAACTTGTTTCTCGATCAATTACTCCTAAACCATTAGCTATAATTACACATCATGAAAGCGCTATTTTGGTGTGCTTCTTGTGCGTTTTATGCATTTAGTCTGTCATTCAGGAAAAAGAGCCATTTGACAGAGAAATGAATTCTCCATTGAGTCCTCGGCCGCCTATGGACATTATGGAACTCATTTGCGGTATGCTCGATGTGCCATGTTGTGAAGAAAGAAGCCACGAGTGCCGGTTCCTCGGGGGAAAGCCAATCTTTTATGATCAGCTGACATTTTGCTGACATTAAGATTGGCCAATTTGTTCTGAATGCGACGGAGTGCAGTTCTTGGGCCAGTCTCTCACTTACTGAGATGTCCTCGTGTGAAGTACTTAATAATAAGGCCAAAAATAATTTGCCGTTTTAATACTTACAATGTCTCTGCAGATTTGACCCCGGAAATGCTGCTCATGCGTTGCGTAATTCTATTCGACGTTGTTCGATTCCAGGGCATTGTTCACATTGAATTTGCAGCACTGTTGTGTTTTGGGATGAGCTTCATATTGTTGTTCTCATTAGTCTTAGGATTCAAAAAAGCGTTCCAAAAAAAAAAAAAAAACATCCAACGGAAAAAAAAAATTTGATTTTTCACATTTCTGTCTTGTTTTGCCGTCACGTGACACGGCCTAAAACATGAACGCAGAAATGGCAGCTTCAGGAGATGAATGCCAGGGCATGAGTAGCGCGATGACGCAATTTCGTCAATTCCATTTCAGTTTCTAGAATCGCCATCATGTTTTCTCCATGCCGGTAGTTGTCCATTTTTTTTACACTGTCACCCAAAAAAAAAATGCTTGTCTGACAGGAAAATATAACAACGCAGTAGTCCGCAGGGTTCATCAAAAATGTATAGTAGGGTTGCAACTAACGAATCGGATCAAATTAAAAATCAATTTATTATATAAAAACAGGCCATTATATATTAAGTTGACAGTACAGAAAATGCACAGACATCAATTAGGTTTCAGTTCGTGGTTTAGTTTGTCTGGTCAGAAAATTGGCGGCAATGTTGATCATCATTCTGCAAATGTTTCATTTGGCTTCAACTCCGAGATAATCGGTCCGCTTTAGGACGACATACATTGGATAACATTTATCGTTGAGACAATTTGAAACCCAAAAATAATCAAAAGGATTCATCGATTATAATAAATAAATAAATAAATAAAATTGCAAATTAATTTGACACTCGATTAATTGTCGATTAATCGCTGCAGCTCATCAGGCAGATTTTGAGACATCTTCCTCATGTCACATTTTGAATCGAATCCCAAATGTGTTTTTTTTTTCCTTTATGTCTTTGTTCCTTTACATTTGCGGTGATGTGAATGAGCAACTGTTTAAGCGATTATCCATCCATTTAGAGCTCGGACGGAAACCATTTACAGAAAATCTTGCTTGACGAAAAACCTTGATGGGTCTGATTGCGCCCACATGGAGGGAGGACTGCGCGATTTAAAAAAAAAAAAAAAAAGTGCAGATTACACATAACAGCAAGTCACAAAGTTTGAAGAAAGGACTCTTATTTGCTAAAGTGCCGTTCGAAATAAGACGGAATGCTTCCTTCCAAAAGCTCAGCGTGGAGGAGGCGGGAAGCGCTGGCGGGGCTGAGTGTCTTTCTGAAATGCACGGCGGCGGCGGCAGTAGCGGCAGCGGCAGCCTCCGCCGCTGTTTCTCGAGGCTCGCATTCAGCTTTTAATCTGAAGGAGACGCTGAAAAGAGAGATGACTCCCCTCACTTAAGTCGTCTTTGCTCCCAATTTTCCACGCCAACCCTTTCTGTCATCACGCGCCATTCTACCCATCACAATGACGCCGTCTTTATTTTGCCTCTCCAGTTTCTGCGCCATTACGTTTATTGAGCAATAAATGATTTTGTCATTCAAATGGAGGGCGTCGGGCGCAGGCGGACGGACATTCGAGTCTGATAAAAGACCGTCGGGGGCCCCGACGGAAAAGAAAAAAAAAAGAAATGGAAAGAAAATATGTCTTGTCTTCCATTTCGGGGACATTTCCGCCTCACGTTTGCCAAATTCCATTTCCTCTGACGTGCGTTTGTCCTTTTGCGTCCGTCCGTGCAGCTGCTGCCTACGCTGGACATCTACACGTGGACAGAGGAGCACGTGGTCAGTGTGGCGACGACGCACCGTGCTTGTTTGATTGTTCTTTACCGCTAACATGTGTCCGTCATGCCGCGCAGTATTTCTGGATGCAGCAAATATTCGGTGAAGGTTTGTAACGACATTTTTTTTTTCTCCCCAACATGATTTTGAAAGGTTGATCGTCAGTATGAGCTGACCTTGTCGTTGTCTCCCCCTTAGAGGGCGGCGCGTACGGCATGCACCTGTATGCTGACCTATTTCGAGACAATCACATCACGGGTAAAAGGCTCTTACTGCTGTCGGAGAACGACATGCGCGACATGGGCATCAAGTCCAAAGGTCACGTCATGCACCTGAAGGCAAGGCCGGGCTAAAACGTTGGGATGTTCCCATGATGCTTTTGGGCGCTTGTTGTGATATTTCTGTCGCGTTTCCGCTTTGGCAGAGTGAAATTGAAAAGCTCACCAATGATTACCTCGGGCTGGTGCACTTTCCACCTCTGCTCAAGGTAAGAGTGTGATAAGTCTTCCCTCGAACCTGTTTGCTCGTGTCCGAGTTGTTTTTATGAGGGCTGTTGTAAACTCGCTCTGTTGGGAAGGTTCTCAAAAATATTGTGCAGGCTATGTTGTTCTAAAAAAAAAAAAATGATGGATGACACTGTATAAACAAAAGTGAATGGCTGTAATAAAATGCCGTCAGGCAGGAAAGAGAACAAAGAAAATATTCTACTGCGAACGGAGCATAAAATTTGCTCGAGCTCCCGTTCTCACGTGGTACAGGTGTTCCTAATGTTGTGACCCTTGAATGTAACCTTTGTTGAACCTTTTTTTTTTTTTTTTTTTTTGTAACTTTTTTTTTTTTCTTTCTAGGAGGAGCTTGAAAATGAGGTGGAAAGCAGTCAAAGTGTTAACCTCGAACTCGTCTTTGGGTACCACTGGAAACCAGGGACAGGAAAATCAGTAAGTTTCTTATTTGACTACTTTATTTTGAAATTCATTATACACATTTGAAGATAGTCGCTGAAAACACGTGAAAAGACTGAGAATTATTTATATGACTCAATTGTGGAGGTACAACATTCAACTTTTTTTTTCTTTTTTACTATTTCAGTTAGCTAGCTGGCATAGCTTGCAAACAAGATTGCTAGCAAGCTATGCTCGCTATGCTAAAAAGCCTAGAAAAGCATCTTCTCTTCAGCGAGTCCGCTAGCGTGGCTGCTTTTGAGCAGGGACAGACTGATGGGAATTTTTGTCCTTACCATTCCATATTTGGCAGAGTAAAATACCGATAACCGATTAATCAGCTGATTAGTTACAAAAATATAAAATGAATAAAGTAACTTCTTTTTTCATTCATCCCTTAACACTTACAAGAGTAAGTACAGCATATTAATTACAGGCATTACAACATTTGACTGTTTCACAGTCCTGCAGTTTTACAGTAGAGAGCTTAACATCTCTGTTTTTAATTGATTGCTGATCGGCCGTTGTATTTTAAAAGTGTCAATATGTGTCAAAATGCCGAGTATCAGCCTTGATAATCGGCCCGGACGATAATCGGTCCATCACAAGCGTGTACCCGGGCTGAGGGACCGGTATGGCTGCTTTAGAACGCCTCATTGTTGTGGGGTGAAAGGCCGGTCGCAACCCAATGGGATGTCTTCCAGCCACCAGAAGCTTTAGGCAGATATATTTCACAGCTCCAACATCTCGTCCGTTATGTTTAGGCATAAGAAAAATGCTACACAAATGGGGTGAGGTATTCGATTGAAAGTGGATGATCTGTCATGATGTTTTGTTTACCATAGCAAGGGAATTTTCTCATGTGTTGCCCCTCTGTGTGTCAAATAAAGAAAGCAATCAAGCTTGAGCATGATTAGTTTTCAAAAAGGCAGAATTGGATGTAGGTGCCGGTGGATCGAATAAAGTGGTCAAGTCAGTTTAAGCGTACGGCAAGAATGTGTTCAATCAATGAAGACGGTTTGGTGGCAGTCGGAGCATTGATATGCCGAGGCTTTCCCTAATGATAGCTGTTACACTGACCATTAGAGGCATCATTTTACAGGTAGAAAAGCAGACAAATAAACATGTCATTCTCCTCCATGTACCACATCCAGCGCCACTCACTCGCCGCCCTTTGTGAGCGCCCAGAAAAAAAAAAAGAAAAAAAAAAGGCCGGCTCTTCACTTGCCGTTCGAATTTAATCAAAAGTAGCCCATTTAGCCAGAAGTCGTTTTCTTTTTCAAAGGAAAACGTTATTTAATCTTTCAGCTGTTCATTGTCCCATCATAAATAGTCCTCTTTCAGTGTGTTCGGCGGGGCTGAAACGAGCCCGCTAATTGCCTCCCATTTCTTCTGACATGTGGTGGTTTAGCGGGTCGAAAACACAGCGGGGAGAAGGAAACAGGAGGCTGAGAAAATGAGAGCTAATTATTTTCCCCTGCCTGGTGTCAGGTTCCGTGTCAGCCTTGTTTTTACAAACTGGAAGGTTTTTTTTTTCTTTTTTGGTGTGAGTGTGTGTGTGTGCACAAAATAAAACAAACCCACACTGCATTTTTCCCCTCCTCTTCGCGCCCCTCTTTGCTGGCGGTGTCATGGAAGCAGCTGCACTTCTCAAAGACAAAATGAGGGCCTCGCGATTGAGCGGCCACCATCTGACAGCCACTGAGGGTTCCCTGCTAATGAGGATATCACCGTGCAGCCAAGTGAAAGGTGCTGAATTATGTATGAGTTGTCATTATATGCACTCGGTCCAAGGCATCATTACGCCACATTGTTTCTGCCGGAGTGATTAGACTCGCGGCGACGCGGGAGCCCCAGTGCGACCGTCCCGGGGCCAACGTCGAGGCCACCGGTGTGTTTCCGAGCGCGGCCAGCTTCCCTTTTCAGATGACCCCCCTGTGTTAAATAAGGAAAATGCTGCAGAAAGGTCCGAGCGCAGCCAAACATGACCAGAATTATCTGTGGAAAATAAGTCTGGCCTTCTCACAGCCCCCAGTGGGAGAGGGCGAAGGCTCCTCAGACGAGTGTGTCAGCGCCGCTCCTCTGATGTCCTTCCCTGTGATCAGCGCACAATGGATTAGCCCGCACCCTGAACCCTGTGTGGTTAAGCGGTGACCTGTGGCTTCGTGGCGGGCGTTTGGGGATTGGTTGGAATCATTACTGCTTCGTCAGCATGTAGCGCGCAAGGGGAAAAGGGGCTATGGCATTGTTCCCATTTGGATGGACCCCCCCCCCTTTCCCATCCACTGGGATGTTATGTGAGGAAGAAAACAACCACAACCGGTTTGATGGACGATACTTTCAGATACAACTGGACACTTTGGTGATCCTGTTGGGTCAGTGTCACTGGACAGTGCCTTTGGTGTCCTTTTTTTTTGGAAGCACACAGTCAACATGAATACGTCGCAGAATCACGAAACTCCGAAGCCGTATGAGTGAACAAACACAAAACAATTTTTTTCTCCACTGGATGTACGGACATGACTTTGGCAGGTCCCACACGGTGAAAAGATACAGAGTCCAGCATTTGTGACATTGTTTCACAACCCCCCCCCCGCCCCCCCACATTATTTGAGAAAAACAAGTCATTTTGAGATTGAATATTTTACACGCTATCGTTAGCCAAAAATGTTCACCCTGTCAGCGAGCCCTCCGATAGTATTTTGCCGTTTGTCTGCGCATTGTCTGCTCGCATAACAACGGGCATAAAGTTGGATGGAAGAAATGTCAAAAGCACCTCATGTTGCTCGCTGTGCCTCTCCGGGTGACGCAAGTACGGCTGGGAAGCGTTCCCGTTTGACTGACGACCATTCGTTTCTGAGGCACTTCCGCCGAACGCCCTCTAGGTTGTGCTGTTGCTTCACCCACCGGAGTTCTCCACACAGGAAAAGTGGCCTGCTCAATTATTTTATTCCAGGGTGGCAATCAGGCGTCGGTTTGCTGAGTGCACTTAGACTGCCTGCCGTGTCTTACAATGAACTATTTCCCTGTTAAGGACTGCAAGTGGAAAATGTTCCTGGAACTCGACGGAGACGACGCGGCCTTAACTTACATCAAGGATGTCGTCTTCAGCCCCAATCGGCAGGATGTGGAACCCATGCGGATGACGAAGGTTTCATGTGCTCCGTTCGTTCTCCCTCCCCCCTTTTTTGTTTTTGTTTTGTATCACACTAATGCACACATTCCGTTTGAAACGCAGCCGCCGTTTCTGATGGACAAATGGATTGTCGGCATCCAGCCGAACCAGAAAGTGGACTACGCAGTCAGCTATAAGGTGAACGATGACACCTGCCAATCACTTGTTGATTCCACGAAGCAGTAACACACGATTCAGTTCGGTTCTAGTACTTGACTTACTGTGTTATCGTTGCCGAAAGTACTCGTCAGTTTTTGGCAAATGACAGGAAATTGGTGACCTCATATGCCAGTAGGAGTGGAATGTGGGCAACAAATATTGGTTTAGGTCCTATCTTGATGCCGATGGACTGAAGTTGAAATGAGAGGAGGAGCTTTGGTTCGTCACTACATGAAGCTTCTTTACTCACGTCAACATAGTTCCTTCACAGCAAGATTCCACCAAAGCAATTGGGTAAAAAAAAAACAAAAAAAAAACAACAACAACAATAGAGGTCAAAAGAGACTGACCCAATGTGTTGAGTTCGTCATTGAACACAAAACTTTGGTCAAATGAATGACCTACTAAACAACCCAATTTTATTCATTTTAACCCTTTTTTGGTTAAATGTTCGGGCGGTTCTTTTTTTGACCCATATTTGGTTAATTTAAAATTTTTTGAGTGTTCCAAAAATAATTCAGCAACGATGTGAATTTGCAAAGGTAAAATTTCTGAATTGTCAATTCAACTTTCGAGGATTCCTCTCCTGCACAAAACTAAATAAATTTCAATAAATAAGGAATCAAAGGCATTCATACACTTTATCAAATAGTTGGGTAAAAAATAACCCAATTATGGCACCAAAAGGGAGCAACCGCTGCTTGGGTCAATTCGATCAGATTTTTTGTTTTTTTTTAACAATCTGATTAAACAAACCAAGCTATTATTTGGACAAAACAAACTTATTTTTTGGGTGGTTTTGTGACAAAAAGAAAAAATCGCTTCGGCTAAAAACGCCCTACTATACATGGTCGTTTTTTTCGGCTAAAAACGCCTTACTACATACATGGTCGTTTTTTTCGGCTAAAACGCCTTACTACATACATGGTGGTCGTTTTTTTCGGCTAAAAAGGCCTTACGAAACATGGTAGTTTTTTCCGGCTAAAAATGCCTTACTTTCCATGGTCGTTTTTTTCGTCTAAAAACGCCTTACTATACATGGTGGTTTTTTTCGGCTAAAAAGGCCTTACTGTACATGGTCGTTTTTTTCGTCTAAAAACGCCTTACTATACATGGTCTTTTTTTTCGTCAAAAAACGCCTTACTATACATGGTCGTTTTTTTGGGCTAAAAATGCCTTACTATACATGGTCTTTTTTGTCGCTAAAAATTTCGGCTAAAAACGCCTTACTATACATGGTCGTTTTTTTGGGCTAAAAATGCCTTACTATACATGGTCTTTTTTGTCGCTAAAAATTTCGGCTAAAAACGCCTTACTATACATGGTC